ACACACAACCACAAGCTTGCAAATAACCATGCATGAACATATGCTTCCATGCAGGTCTACACTTTTTTTTTATTTCTTATTTTTGCAATTAAAATATTTATGCATTTTCTGAGGTAAACTTTGACCACACATACCTTATATTTATGGAATTCCTTAAAGGACTCCTCTATGTACTTTAACTTCGTTTTCTTCTTTAATGCATTATATTTGGTCCTCAACTCGGCTTTCAACTGCTTGTTCTTCGATCCAATCTTATCACTTTCAATGCTATAATATATCTGTAAAGAAATCAAGCTTAATGTGTCAGAAAAATAGGAAACTTTAAGACCCATAATCACATATTGATAAACATCCAATTTTGATTTCCTCCCTTCAACTAACCTGCATTGCTAAAGCCTGCAAGAATTTTGTAGAAGGCTTTGACCAACATGAACTTCTCTTAAGGAATTGTTTCTTATATTTCTCAAATAACTGTTACTTTATTATACTCAATTGATATGCAGTAACCTTTTTGGTAATATCTTTAGAAAATTACTTACATCTATAATAGCTGAAACAATGTAATCAACACTTGAATGTATTTAAGGGGGCCATCGCACTCGAGAACAAAGTTTGTAAATTATGATTGGATTTTTTGCTATTTTTTTTATATGTTATATATACATATACTAAATTTAAACCACCCAGTTTCATATCATTTGAAATAATAAACAATGAAGTTATTAAAAAAATATATATATATACATTTTGAAAATCAAAAAAAACTTATGTATCTCACTTCTCCATTGACTGAACTCTAAGCAATACTATAGTATCAACGATTGGATTTGAAATTTCTTCTTAGTTTAGTGGGGGGAAAAAAAGGTTTAATTTTTAAAGATATAAAGTATGATATATGGAGTTTTATCCCCTGAAATGAAAATCTCATAACTTTTATCTTTACGTATTTAGCAGAAATATTATGTCACGAGATTGCCAAAGCTTACTAGATTACAGGAGGTTTTTAAAAAAATTTCGAGTATTTAAAAAAATATTTGTCAAAATTTCATTGCGCTGCTGGCCTTCTTAAAGATTGCCACAAATCTAAAATAAAATATTTTTGTTCCATCTTCAAAAAATGGTATTTTGAGTTCTAGGTTGAAGTAAGAAAGTGGTACATGCTGCACCAGCCCCTGTTTTCTTGAATAAAAAGAACTCTAACTCACCTTCACAGCTCTTCTTTTTTCTAGATAAAATTTTCATAAAAATCAAGCCTTGGCAATTCAAAAGATAAGATTAAAGATGAATTAAATAGAATGAGCTACTCCTTGAAAATTAAAAAAAAATGTATATGGTCTTTCTAATGTGTAGGCAAGGAAAATAACAAAAAAAAAATAAAAAAGAGTAAGTAACTACATCACAGTCTTCATCATAACCATGGCATTGGTTATAGCATTGGTAAATGTATAAGTAAAAACAAAATTTGCAAGATCTCAAGTTTACTGAACACTTAATGCTCTGATGTAATATAGTTTCATTCCATTTCTTTCTACTTTTCTTTTCAACAAGGTTAGTGAATATTGGCTGCACGCAAGATGTTCAAATAACAGTACTGTATTTCAATTAATCCCTACAATGAGGACGATATGACAATCATGTCATGAAAAAATTTGGCTTCAGGAGTGGATGACGCAAACATGCCCACTTGGGAAAATTTGGCTGAAGGTCAAGGTGATGGGAATGACTCAAGTGTACAAAGCTTTTGGAGGGTGATTAGATTCATTTGACATTTAGAAAGGGGCTTATACACTATAACTATCAATAAACAAGCGTGGAATATACCATCCATGAGCTGTCACTGGAACAGTGCCAATTGAAGAGAGGACACTATTTCCACACTCAGGATCCTATTCCTGACTGCCATGACCAGCGGCACAGGTTGTATTACAAAAAATTATGTATTGCAAAAAAATAAAAATAAAATTTAAAAAATGACACAAACAACAAAATGTTGCTTATTGTTATAATCAATGAGCAACTATCTACCGAGATCATATGGAAGTCTGTGTAAGGAAAGGAGTCTATTGCCAACTCGATAAAGCAAATTAAATGACAAATATGGATATTGGAAAATGGCAAAAAAGCTAAAAATGCTTATGTAGAAAAAAGAGTGAGAGTAAAAAAAAAAAAAAAAAAAATAGAAAGGAAAGGCATGGAATCTTGTCACCACATGATATTCATGTACGCCCAGCTTACCAGCCACAGACCGGTTAGAGTGGCCACTCAAGTAAGCCTTCTGCCCGTAATTTGGGCCACGTGAAGACTCTGAAGCATCCAAATCCAAGGGTTAATGAATACCACCACAGTCAATCATCAAAATAACAACCAGTAGTCACCAAAATGTCAAGTGAATTTTGATTTAAAAATAAGTAAATAAAAAAAAGGAAAGAAAGCAGAAAATAAAAATGTATATTTTGCCTAGTCTACAAATAACCTTACCTCAAATGGTAGTCTAGGGGCTGATACTGGAAGGCCGTCCTTGCTAGAAAAAAAAAACGGGAAAAAGGAAAAAAAAACAATGAGATGATTTACCATCACAACACAAACTATTACTTGCAAAACCATACACATATATCCATACACACACAAAAAATTAAGAAGACCGTCCCTGTGGTGGGGTGTTCGAGTCAGGAATTTTGGGTCGGAGTGGTTAAAAATGAGTCATGGTCAGTTTCATATTCGTATATGAGAGTAGAATTACCACCGTGAATATAAACCCAACAAAAAATTTAGGCAGCGAGTGAGGCCAGAAACCCGAGTCCCATTGCGCTGTGTCAGTGATTTTCACCCTTCCGCACTCTGGCTGTACAGGAGCCAATATGATGCATTGTATAATGACAGTACCTATTGAACTAGATCAGAGGAAGATAAAAGTGTCTTATTATAACAGTTTCTTCCCAATGTTAAAGATTTATGATTTGAAAAACAAAGAAAAATTAAAAATCCTTACATGACTTTTCAAATTTCTTTCTATAAAATAAAGTAGACATAATTTGATTTTGACATATTCTCATATGAGTATATTTACGTATCTCCAAAATAAACTCACAACAAACAGATATTTACACGGCTGGGCGCTCGCCCGCATCAACGGCCATCCTGGAGGGACGAGTTCCAAGCGTCGCCACAGCTTTAGTCTTTTCTGATTGCATTAATTTTACGTATGCGCTTTCATTTGGGTATATGCGCATGTACAAATATACACGTGCACAAACATGTACCTTAAAATAATTTACATGCGTATACACATGTAAACGATGTATACACATGTAAACGAATGTATACACATGAAAACAGTAATAAAAGAGATATGAAACACGAAACAACTGATTTTATATGTCATATTGTCTTGGGTCTGGATTTGCCCCTTTTCATGGGAGTCATTTGTTTTTTTCTTTCTATAACTCAGAGACTAATGATCATATCTTTACCTAACAAAGTGCATTTGGAAGAGAAAAGTAGTAGTTTTCTAACAGCAATGAAATGGTAAAGATTCATAAATGAAAAATATAAAAAATTAACTTCAAATATCCAACTTTTTGTTTGCTTGTTTTTCTATTCTTTTTCGAGCTACGAACATTTCCTTGACCCAGAGCTTTTATCCGATTAAAATTTTGGATATATTTTTGGAAACCTTGTAAAGGAAGCGCATTTTTTAATTTTGCTTACTTTTTTGTACAAATTTTTGAAAATCGAAAAAAAAAAAAAAAAAAAAAAAGGTGAAAATGATTTTTCTTTATACTTTTTTTTCTGAGGATACTAATTCGAATTTCAAAAAAAGGCTTTGATATTGACTTGGGAATTCACTGATGTTCATTCACATTTTTTTTCATGACAATTCATAATCCTCTGGGACAAGAAAATGTTCACGTAGACACATGTGGAAAAAAAAATTTAAAAACTTTTTATTTTGCGGGGCCATCGCCCCCCATGTGGGAACCCCCATAAATGTGGTATCAAAAGATGCAGAATAGTAAAATACATTATATATCTAAAAATCAAGAAAATCCATGACCATTTATTTTATAGGGACTGTACCCCCCCCATTAGGGACGGTCCCCTTAAGTAACAGAACTATATATATAAGTTGAAAATAAATAAAATCAATTAATAATCTGACTTAACCTATTAACAAAATGAAAGCAAATTTTGGTAATAATAATAATAATGATAATCCCTATTATATTCATGATTCACTTTTCTTTCTATCACATCTGTCATACATAAAATAAAGATACATGCGATAAAATATTAAGGCATGGGGTATCACTACTTCAACCACTGGAGTAACATAGATCAACTAAACTAATATTGTGCTAAAACAAACAGGAATATTTACTTTTTATAATTTTTTTTTGTTTCACTTATTTCTACTGATCACTTACGGATTCCTTCTTCTTTCGCCAAGATTTTGTATCTTTTCTTTTCAGCTTCGTCTAAACTGTACCAGTTGTTAATAAGGACCGAGAACAATTCTCTCTGAAAAAAAGTGATTGAAATAAGATAGGAAAGGAGAAAATAACAAGACTCTACTTCTCTATATCATCCTGATTAATAACCAAAATGCATTTTTACACAAGATTTAAGGTCAACATTAATTTAAAATCCATAAAGTTTTTCATATCGCATTTATTTCAAACAAATTTTAAAAAAAGAAAACTTTAACAGAAGTTTCTTGTTGGACTTACACCACGTAGGTTTTCATTCTTGCCGTTTGTCTTCAGTGTCTGGGTGTGTTGCCTCATGAAATACTGGAATGCATTCAGATTCTTCTTCGTAACCCTCCTGATCTGGTAAGTTGTTCTGCTTCTGTTAATATTTGTTCTAATGTTCTGAAAAAGAAAAAAAAAAGGAAAAGCTCAGGATGATAATTTTGAAAATAACATATCATTCAAGCTCTTCCACTAAAGTATTAACAATACAAATGTAATACTATGACATACTTTATTTTATTAATGCTCTCAATAATCTCATGGAACTGTTCTTCACACTCTTTAGCAGACTTGTTGTCAAAGGCGATATCTTTCCAGTTCCATTTTGGGCCTGCAAGTCTTCTTCTGTAACTGATTTTGTCATTTGGCTGCAGCTTTTCTTGCATTCTTGAAATCAGCATCAACTTCTCCTCAGGCGTCCATAAGTCGAGTGGCTCTGGAAGGTAGTAGATGAGAATGTTATTTAAAGTGTTCTATTTTTGGTGAATATAAATATAGTTGTCTACCACATTAATCCTGAATTCTATTTCCACAAACTACGAGGTAAAATAAAACCATTTAGGTACAAGGTGATAAAAATCAAGTGTTTGCAACATACCAGCTTCATTAGCATTAATTGGCTCTTTTTCCTCATCATCTTCATCCACAACAGCCTCCTTCCTTTCTTTCTTAATCTTCTTTGGTGAAGATTTTACCTCCGATGGGTGTGTCCGTTTCTTGGGAGACTTCTGAGAATCTGTCAAATTCTCACTGTCATTCTGAAAAAAACAAAGAAACAATTTTCAAGCAACAAAATAAAAATATCTAGTTATTACTAATCCAAAATTGTGTTGAAATACCACTTATCAAGTTAAATGGTATTCTGTTGACAAATGAAAGACAAGGCACTTAAACCCCTGCATTCACTAAATATTGGGTTTGCTTCCCTCAAGTAGCTACTTGTGATGTACACAATGCTCTTTTTGGTAATTTTTATTTTGGCAAATCTCCATGGTCCAATGGTCTTTATTACAAAAATATGGAAAATGAATTTTAGGCCAACTTTGGAATCTAAACAAACATGCACAAAGAACATTTTTGTGATGTACAGAAATCTCATGCATTGGCAAAGCAGATGTCTAAGCAATTACACCCTAAAGTATATCTTAATGCTCACACTCTAGAAGGGTTAAGAACATCTCAACTTATAATAATGACAAATTATCAAAAAATTATCAATTCCAGCATATTTACCAGGCTCTCATCATGTCCATCCTTTTTGTGCTTCTTCTTTTTCTTCTTTTTGACGAGTGTCCTTTCAGTTTCAGATTCTTCAGTCGCTATTGACACCTCTTCCTTGACAGGAGAAATTTTCGATGTTGAGATTATCATCTAATTTCTTCTTTTTTTTACCTTTCTCTACACAAGAACAAGAAAATAATAACATTAAAAATAAAGCAGTTACAGCCATTTTTAATCACTATAATTCATAATCTTTAGAGTACAAAAACATCTCTAACAAAACCAGACACAAAGAATTACAACAGAAGAACTAGTTTGTACTACAATAACAATATGACAGTAGCACTAAAACTAAAGCTAAATATGGTAGAGGGAATCTGATACAGTTTAATAGCTCCTGGATAATCTAGAACAGGATTCAAGCATCAGCAAAGTATAAACAATGTATATAAGCATGCAATTAAAACCTAACCTTGGAGGAAGATGAAGGAAGGGGGGAGGGAAAGGAAAAAGGAAAGAGGAAAAGAAAAATGAGGAGGAGGATAAAGGTGGAGGAGTGGGAGAGTGGCAGGAATGAGAGGGAGGAGTAGGAGGAGTGGCAGTAATAAGAGGGAGGAGTAGGAGGAGTGGCAGTAATGAAAGGGAGGAGTGGGAGGAATGAGAGGGAGGAATGAGAGGGGGAGTGACAGTAATGAGAGGCAGGAGTGGGAGGAATGAGAGGAGAGGAGTGAGACAGAGGAGTGGAGGGAGGAGTGAGACAGAGGAGTGGGAGGGAGGAGTGAGACAGAGGAGTGGGAGGAATGAGATTGAGGAGTGGGAGGAATGAGAGGGAGGAATGAGAGGGAGGAGTGGGAGGGAGGAGTGAGACGGAGGAGTGGGAGGGAGGAGTGAGACGGAGGAGTGGGAGGGTGGGAGGCATGAGAGGGAGGAGTGGAGGAATGAGAGGAATGGAAGGAATGAGAGGGAGGAGTGGGAGGAACAAAAGAGAAAAGGAGGAGAAACGAAAAGGTGGAGGAGAAGGATGCCAACAATGACAATAATACAATAATGACAATTGTCATCATAATGTTGGTACTGTGACCACTTTAACTAGCTCAATATCACTAAATTTATCGCTACCATTATTATGATATTACAGTGATTCAGTAGAAGAAGAGAAACCATGAAGAAATGTGCGGTTCACTGTATTTTTGGTGAATTTTGCTTATACATAGATAGCTCTACAAGTGTTCACCACTTAACATTTTGGGAAAGTATAAAATTAAGTCTTTCCTAAAACCAAACAAAAAGGTAAACAGGAGAGATGAGTAAAATAAGTAACTGACACCTTTGCAGCTAAGTACCTGTGGAGCTATCTATGTGTAAAAAAATAACAACAATAATACACTAAAATCACAGCGGACATGCAAGTACATCATACCATCTCTGCACCCATTGGCTACATGAACATGCCTAGATTTATACAAATACCTTTGATAACTGGTTCAACTGGCTGTTCTTCAGGTTCAATAGCATGCTTCTTCTTTTT